TTTGAGCGAGCTCCGCAGGCTCCTCCAGTTTAACCCCTTCCAGCTGATTCCCTGCAAACAACCACCCAAACCCTAAACCCTAAACCCTAAACCCTAAACGCAAGTCCCATTCCCTCCTAACCCCTATAGACCCTAAAAGTAAACCCTAAACCCTAAACCCTAAACCCTAACTGGGTCCTGCAGTTCATCTGCGGTTATCCACTTGTAGCCCGCGTTGTCGGGACTCCACAAACCCTAAACCCTAAACCCTAAACCCTAAACCCTAAACCCTCACCAAGGGTTATCCAGTTGTTACGGATGTTGTGCTGCCTTCCAAACAGCTCCACCTTCAAAGTACCTGGCCGCATGCGCTCGATTATTCTGCAGCATAAACAAATATTTTTACTTAAATATAAATAAAATTTATTTATAAATAAATAAATAAATAAATATATATATAATATATGTGTATATCAGGTGTGGCGTTTATACGGGTGAATGGATGACGCCCCTAAGAAAGAGCTGTAAACCCTAAACCCTAAACCCTAAACCCTAAACCCTAAACCCTAAACCCTTGGTGGAGGGATTCAGGGTAGTGTTTAGGGTTTGGGGTTTGTAAGGCTTTCCCTCCGTTCTGAGGCGCACCCTAAACCGCGCAACTCGAGCAACTCGAGCAAGTAATACAACTAGGGTTTAGGGTTTAGGGTTTAGGGTTTAGGGTTTAGGTACCTGTATATTTCATCAGGCTTTCTTGATGTTTGCCGCACTTCGCTGACAATTACATCGCAGTCGATGTTGCGGTTTACTTTAGGGTTTCCTTTAACCCCAACAAGACAGTGTTCCTAAACCACAAACCCTAAACCCTAAACCCTAAACCCTAAACCCTCGCTGGGTTCTAGGGCGTGGTTAAGCTCCTGAAGCTCCTCTCCAGGCATCCTAAACCCTAAACCCTAAACCCTAAACCCTCGTTCTTCCCTCTGGCGGCCCCTATACTCCTCCTACTCCCGGATACACCCTTAAACCCTAAACCCTAAAGGGTTTAGGGTTTAGGGTTTAGGGTTTACCTTGGAGTGGTTTAGCCAGTGACCCGTACGCCCCGTCCTTATAATCCTCTGCAGTTGATTTGTCTTCACCCACAATATCTCTTCTACACGCCGGTAGCCCCAAAGCTGCACAAACCCTAAACCCTAAACCCTAAACCCTAAACCCTAAACCCTAAACCCTAACCCCTAAACCCTTGATAGAGGTGCCGAGGGTACAGCTGCATTCAAAGCCTGAAGCTGTACTTGGCGAGTGCTGGCGTAGCCATAATAAACCCTAAACCCTAAACCCTAAACCCTAAACACCAAGCCCTAAACCCTAAACCCTAAACCCTAAACCCTAAACACCTGTAAGCATTCCCTTGCGAGCTCCATCGCTCTGCCGGTAACCCACAGAAACAGCAAACCCTCATCCTGGATTAAATCGACCTGCAGATACACCGCTCAAACCCTAAACCCTAAACCCTAAACCCTAATTCTGAGGCTCCGCATACCCATCCCCATCCCCAACACCTAAACCCTAAACCCTAAACCCTAAACCCTAACTCTGCGCATACCCACCCCCACCGCCCAGACCGCACCACCGCCCAGTCCCCACCCCCGATCCTCTAAACGCTAAACCCTAAACCCTAAACCCTAAACCCTAAACCCTAACCCTGAGGCTACGCATTTCATCGTCAGTCATAGTGCCGTAGGGTAGATCCATATGAATATCCCAAGGCGGGTCAGCCATTACTACATCGACGAAGGGTTTAAAAATTGAAAAATCCAGAGTCCTGACCACAAACCCTAAACCCTAAACCCTAAACCCTAAACCCTAAACCCTAAACCATAAGGATTCAGCATTAAAACATAAACCCTAAAGGCTTCTCATCCCGATACATCAATCTGTTCAGGGAGGGGTCGTCAGGAACGCGAAAAACCAGAGAGGGTAAACCATTAGGGTTTAGGGTTTAGGCCTTAGGATTAAGGGTTTAGGGTTTAGGGTTTAGGGTTTACCGAATGTCGCAGCGGATCCACTGCGCTGGGTATTTCTCCGTCAGGCACTGAGGGCCAATGGAATATGGATGAAGAGGCTCCTCCCTGTGCAACCACCCTAAACCCTAAACCCTAAACCCTAAACCCTAAACCCTAAACCCTAAACCCTAAACCCTCGGTAGTGATACTTCGGCCCTTCTTTCGCTCCAAACTTCACAGCCTCCAACTCGCTTCCCCCTAAGCCTAAACCCTAAACCCTAAACCCTAAACCCTAAACCCTAGACGAACTTTTCTCTTTCTTCGAATTCATAATGAACGAAGCGGCACTTCTCAATGTGGCGGCATGTATCCAAATAGCTGCAGTCACCTAATCGCTCATCTGCAGCAGCAGCAGCAGCAGCAGCAGCAGCAGCAGCAACAGAACCGGCAGCAACAGCAATATCAGCAGCAGCAGCAGCAGAAAGTGGATTAGATGCAGATACACCCCAAGCCCCAAAAGCAGCAGCAGAGGCAGCAGCTGCATAAACATCAAAGGGAATGCACACAGCAGCAACAACAGCAGCAACAGCAGCACCAAAGCAGCAGCAGCAGCAGCAGCAGCAACAGCAGCAGCAGCAGCAGCAGCAGCAGCAGCAGCAGCAAGGGTTTTCGTACCTGTGAGGCCCTCAACGATAATCTTTCTGTAGTGGAGCTGCAGCACAAACCCTAAACCCTAAGCAAACCACCGCTGACGATCTATCAATTAGGGTTTAGGGTTTAGGGTTAGTTACTGCTGCCGCTTGCACTAGGGTTTAGGGTTTTAGGGTTTAGGTTGGTGCAGTAGGGTTTGAGGCCTTCCTATTGCTGTTTACACTCGAATTAGGGTTTAGGGTTTAGGGTTTAGGTTGGTGCAGTAGGGTTTGAGCCCTGTCTGTTGTCAGCATCACCCCCCTGTTACGAATTAGGGTTTAGGGTTTAGGGTTTAGGGTTTAGGGTTTACGTTGGTGCAGTAGGGTTTGAGGCCTCGCTGTTGTCTGCATTCTTCTCTCGAGCCGTAGACGCAAAGCGGTTTAAAGACAGCAGAAGACGAACGAAAAACTGCAGCCAGCTGCAGCAGCAGCAGCAGCAAATGCAGCAGCAACAGCAGCAGCAACAGCAGCAGCAAATGCAGCATCAAATGCAGCAGCAGCAACAATAACAACAACGGCAGCACAACAGCAGCAACAGCAACAGCAAAAACAGCAGCAGCAACAACAGCAGTAACAACAGCAGCAGCAGTGACAACAACGGCAGCAGTACCAACAGCAGCAGCAGCAGTAACAGCAGTAACAGCAGCAGCAGCAGCAGCAGCAGCAGCAAGTTGTTGCTGTTACCTGCTGCTGTTTAGATGTGAGAGTAGAGAGGAGGCTTCGAACCTCCGTGTCGAGTTGATGAGAACTTTGATTCTGAACAGCAGCAAACACACACTCTGCTGCTGCTGCTGCTGCTGCTGCTGTTGCTGCTGCTGCTGCTGCTGCTGCTGCTGCTGTTGGTGGTGGTGGTGCTGCTGCTGCTGTTCGTGCTGCTGCTGATGTTGCTATTGCTGCTGTTGGTGCTGCTGCTGCTGATGCTGCTGCTGTTGTTGCTGCTGTTGCTGTTGTTACTGCTGGTGTTGGTGCAGCAGCTGCTGCTGTTGCTGCTGTTGCTGCTCTTGATGCTAATCAGAGGCAACAGCAGCAGCAACAACAGCAGCAGCAGCAGCAGCAGCAGCTGAAGCAGCATTACCTTGGCTGTAGGTTCACTTAGAAGGGCCTCTAATTCTGCATCTTGCTGCTGCTGTTGCTGCATCACGAATCCCTCTTGCTGCTGCTGCTGCTGCTGCTGACGATCATATATCTGCTGCTTGCGTTGGTGCTGTTGCTGCAGCAGCAGCTGCTGCTGTTCGTACAGCTGCTGGTGCTGCAGATGCTTCTGCTGCAGCATCTGGGCAGCAGTAACCTGCTGCTGCTGCTGCTGCTGCAGCTGCTGCTGCCGGTCTCCTCTGCTGCTGCTTGCATGCAGCTGCAGCAGAAAAGCAGCAATTCGATGCGGATATACAGAAGCAACAGCCTGCAGCATTTCTTGCTGCTCCAGCTTCACCATCGGCAGCGCAGCAGGGACCCCACACAAGCTGCTGCTGCTGCTGCTGCTGCTGTTGCTGCTGTTGCTGCCGCTGGCCTGTGCTAAGATAGAAGCAACATCTGCACCTGATATCTGCAGCGGGCGCCGCAACGGCTGAGCTGCTGCTGCTGTTGCTGCTGCTGCTGCTGCTTTGCGTATCAGCGCAGGAAGTGCAGCAACAGACAGAGGAAGCAGCAGCAGCACCTTGTGCGGCAGCAATCCGAGGGTATTAGCAGCAGCAGCAGCAGCAGCAGCAAACGGGGGATTTGCTGCTGCTGCTTCTTGCTGCGCTGCATGCTGCAGCAGGAAGCAGCAAATAACACGGGCTTGACTTAACTCCCTCACAGGCTTTGCTGCTGTTGCTGCTGCTGCTGCTGCTGCTGCTGCTCGGTGGAGGCTGAAGGCAGGGTGCAGCAAGGATGGTTCTGCTCCTGCTGCTGTTGCTGCTGCTGCTGCTGCTGGACCAGCAGCAGCAGAAACACCAACGGCCGTTGCTGCTCCTGATGCTGCTGCTGCTGCTGCTGCTGCTGCTGCTCCAGGCCCCCCATTAACACCAGCACTATCGAACGGTCTTGCTGCTGTTGCTGCTGCTGCTGTTGCCGGTGCTTGTGCGGTCGCTGCTGCTGCTGCTTCAGCAGCATATACTCCTACAGACGGATGATGCTGACTCAATAAAGGCCCTGCTGCAGCTGCTGCTGTTGCTGCTGCTCCTGCTGCTGCTGCTGCTGGGTACTGAGCAGCATAGCCTGAATGCCGCGGAGACCTGTTAGAGCGATCGTATGGAGCTGCTGCTGCTGCTGCTACTGCTGCTGCTGCATGCGGGCCTTTTGCTGCTGTTGTTGCTGCTGCTGCTGCTCCTGCTGCTGCTGCTAGGCCTGTTGATGGGGAGACACTGGAAGACTCGCGTTGTTGTTGTTGCTGCTGCTGTTGCTGCGGCTGCTGCGCTGCAGCAGAGTCAAGCACAATCGAGCCTCTGGTTGAGTCTTCTGCTGCTGCTGCTGCCGCTGCAGGTGCTGATGCTGTGCTTTGGGTGTTGCTTCTGCTGCTGCTGCTGCTGCTGCTGCTGGCCAGCTGCTGCTGCAGCGACCCCGTCTGCTGCCGGCGCTGTTGAAAGCGCTCGCCGAGGCGCTTCATTGCTGCAGCAGCTGCTGCTGCTGCTACTGCATCAGCAGCAGCAGCAGCAGCAGCACCGATTTTTGCTGCTAAACTGCACTACCCTGCAGCAGCGGCAGCAGCAGCAGCAACAGCAGCAACAGCAACAGCAGCAGCAGCAAGTGGAGTTTTTAAATATATTGTTGCTGCTATCAACACAATAACAAGGAGCAGCAAAGGGGATGTATTTGCTGCTGCTGCTGCTGCTGCTGTTCTAGTTTAAGACTGATGAAGTTAAGTACAGCTAAAGGAGCAGCAGCAGCGTGTGCTGCAGCTGATGAAGTATATTAATTATTTATTATTAAATAATTTATTATTAATTTATTTATTTTTATTTAAATCTAAAATAAACAAATAACTCAGACCCCCGGTAGAGGCCCGCATGCAGCAGCCCCGTTGCTTGCAGTGTATAGGCAGCTCTATGCAGCAAACACAAATATTATTTTATTTATATTTATATTATTTAATATTATTAATTACTAATTATTATTATTATTATTATTTATTACTTATTAAAGGAGAGGGCTGCAGCATTTATGTTTATAAGCCGAGCGCTACAGCTTGCTGCAATCGAGACCAAGGGTTTAGGGTTTAGGGTTTAGGGTTTAGGGTTTAGCAAAGAAAAACAAAGGCCTGATGAGGATGGCGTTTAGTAGAGGGTAATAAGACGGGCTCTGCCGTGGGTTGCTGCTGCACACCTTGCTGCAGCAGCAGCTGTAGAAGCAGCAACAGCTGTAGCAGTGTAGCAGCAACAGCTGTAGCAGCAGCAGCTGCAGCAGCAAATGCAGCAACTGTAGCAGCAGCAGCAACTGTAGCAGCAGCAGGAACAGCACCAGCAGCTGCTTCAGCTGCAGCGAGGCAGCAGCTCCTCTATAGAGAAGGGATCCCGGTGTGTTGCATGCGCTGCTGAGCTAGGGTTTAGGGTTTAGGGTTTAGGAGACAACTTGAGGTAAAAAAGAGCGTCAATTAAAACATTTACAGCCATCAGTGCATTTTATTAATTTATTAAAATATTAAATAAAATAAATTTGATATATATATATATATATTTATACATATATTTATATATTGTTTATATATACATATATATATATATATTTATATATATTTATATATTAATACAATAAACATTTTGCATACTAAATATATTAAATACGTTTTATGCATCAAATGTAAACAAAACCCAACTAAAAAATAATTATCTCCTAAACCCTAATCCTAAACCCTAAACCCTAAACCCTAAACCCTAAACCTAAACCCTAAACCCTAACCCTAAACCCTAAACCCTACTGTGTAGCGTCTAGTGTCGCTGCTTCTTTCTTCTAAAAATGTTTTGATTGGCTTCAGTCCTCAATAAAAAAAGAAGAGGGTTTAGGGTTTAGGGTTTAGGTAGGCCGCTTGTTGCGGTGTGCGTAAACCCTAAACCCTAAATGTGAGTATGTCTCTTTAAAACAAAAATATAAACAGCACATCTAAAGCAAACGTGCTGCCTCCTTCGCTTGGCTAGCTACCAAGCTACTAACTGCGCAGCTAACTAGCTAGCTAGCTAGTTATCTATATAGCTAGCTAGCTAGGTAGCTAACTAGTTGGCTAGCTACCTATTTAGCCGGTGAGTGGCCCACTTCAGGGCCAGCTAGCAAGGTAGGGGGTATGACTGGCTAGCTAGCTAGCTAGCTAGCTAGCGATATAGATAGATAGCTAGCTAGCTAGCTAGCTACCACGAACGCTTTGCCGCACTGCAGCAGCCCAACAAACTGAGGACTTCGTTAGCTATCCAGCTAACTAGGTAGACAGCTAGCTAGCTAGCTAGCTAGCCAGCTAGCTGGCTAACTAGGTGGCTAGCTCGACAGCTGCCCAGCTGGATACCCAGTCAGCTAGCTAGCTAGCTAGCTATCTAACTATATATCTATCTAGCTAGCTAACTAACTAGCTAGCTAGCTAAGTAGCTAGGGTTTAGGGTTTAGGGTTTAGGGGCTTTAGCTGCCTTAAGGATAGCGTGAAAATCTTCAGTCAAAGAAGCGCCGCCCACGAGGAAGCCATCGATGTCCTCCCCGCCAAACAAATCCTGCAAACACAAACCCTAAACCCTAAACCCTAAACCCTAAACCCTAAACCCTTGCTTCGCCAACGAGCATGGGACGGTAGAACAGCAAACAAGCAAAGAAAAATGAATATAAACAAACAGACAAACAAACAAACAAACAATCGAGCAAACAATAAAAACAAGCTGGCT